AAGGCTCATAGTTCAGTCCCCTGTTCGTCGGGAGTAGGGCGCCCCGAGCTACGTGTGGTATTCGCCGAGACTGATTGGTAAATATAGAAAGCCAGAATAGCAGAAGCGCAGGTTATGAGAATTTTATATTTTTTTTTTAAAAAAAAACAAAACAAGCTATCTTGTGCAGGATGCTGTAAGTAAGTTTTAAACAATGTACACTGGTTAAACGTCGACACGTGAATTTCCAACGAAAGACGACTGAGTGCTCTCAGTCTCAGTCTGTCACACATATTAGAGGCATACATTCGCACGAGGAGGCTACAGTTACAAGGAATTTGCCTTGGTGTTTTCAATCGTTTTATGCACTAGTCAACAATACCACGTATGAGCACTACATGTTCACACACAACCGTCCGGCATCGAGGGAAGTAAAGCCAAGAAAGATCACAGGCTACCAAGCCACAAGGAATCTCCAGTCCAATATCATTTCCCAAGTTCCCATGGCTGCAGCACGAGTCCTAAAGCCCCGACCGCCAAGTGAAGACAGTTCAGCATTTGAACCACGCGATATGGACCTGCTGGCTCACGTCGACTGTGGCATCGTCGTCAGTGAGCTGGCCGAAGGCGTTGGTGTCGGTTGAGGTGAGCGCGACACGGTTGTTGACGTTGAGGATCTCGGTCTGGCCGCATTTGCTCTTGACGTAGTTGGGGGTGGGGACTACGTCCTCCTTGGTGTAGACCTGGCCATCGGCCCAGAGCCCGCCGCCGGTGATGGAGGACTGCGTGGTGCAGGTCTTGGAGGCGTCCGAGCTGAAGTAGTACTGGCTGAAGAAGGTTCCCGTGACGCCCGCCTCGAGCTGCGCGTAGCCATGGTAGGTGCTGTCGACGACTGCGAAGGAGTAGCCGGCCGGGTAGCTGAGAGTCAGGTGGATTTGCTATTTCTATAGTCAGTGATGCGATGATGGTGGGAGTTATGCTCGGATTGTGACTGTTTCCATCTCTCTTCCCTGACGAAGCTTGGCCAATAGGTGTTGTGAATGAATTTGGGATTTGTTCGGTTGATGATTTCTAACATGGGGTGCAATTCTTGCTCCTCAAATGTGTATCAAAAAGAAAGTGAAAATATTCTGGCAGATGGGCGTCGTGAAGGGTTGGAACATGGAAAACGGAGAAGGACTTACACAGTTCTTCGATCGATCCTTGATCGTTGTCCCAGGTCCAATATATGTTTGGAAACCGTCAAAGCCCAGGGTGACGATCTAAGTTGGTTAGTTATCGTTTTAGCTCACGAAGGACTGGTGAAGGGCTTAAGACACTGCTGATCCAAGTCCAGCTCAATGATAAATATAATTGGAGACATAGGGCATGCTTGGGTAGGAGAGACTCACGGTCTTGTCACTAGAGATCGACGTTGAGACAGTACCCTGAGGACATCCGTTGCCAGAGTACTGTACTTTGGAGATGGTGATGTCCTGCGCGGCCACGAGGGCTGGGACGAGCAGAAGTGAGAGGAACTTCATAGTGTCAAAGCACGTTGAATGTGACGATAATCAGCAGTATTATTGGGTCATGGATGAACAAAGTTACGCTGTAGGAAGATCTTTCCTCATCGAGGACATGCGGATGGGTATGGCACATTTATACCCACTTCCCCGTGGGGGATTTCAACTTCGGCAGGTCTAGATCAGTAAGGACATGTGTCTGGACCCTTGCCTCGAGCACGCCAGATGTGAAGCTTGCAACGCTGCCTTTCAGTAGTGGCTTCTCGTACGATAACGCGTCGACCACTACATGCTCTGTAGCATGCATTGGGGACTCGGTTGCTTCCGGATTACCAAAATCCAGTGGTTATCGAGGCGCCAAGAACGTCTAGGTCGTCCAAAACTAGAGTGAAAAGCTGGAAGTCCGTCCGTGGGTAGCAAGCTGAAGGGTCCAATATAGGGCAGCTTGGTCCCGTGAGGACTAGTTTCCGAATCAGTGCTGCGGGGATGCCATCGTGCAATATAACATTGCTCTGGCGGCTCTGTCTATCAGTAATAAAGTGCAGCACTACTGCGAGTTTAAGAGGCTAAATCTTTTAATAGTGATAGTCCTTACCCATTTTCTGGGCTCGACTCCGAGGGTCCAGACCTGGAGGGTAGCATCGTGGTTGTTTGATATATTAAAGCACGCCAGGCTAGCATAGAAGCGCTTAAAAGCGCTTGGCCGTCGAGCAGGCCGGCTCTCGAATTTCAGGGTCCTTGGGCGGCCCGGATAAATCCAATACGACTTGGAGAGCAAATTAAATTGAACATGCGTCTGGACCCGGTCCGCTGTGCTGGTTTTCCGCCTCTTGGCGCCGGACAAATCGTCAATAGAAGCAGTTGACAAAGTGAACGATCAATCAGTGCAGGACTGACGGCCCTGAACTACGACAGGGGCTTAGAGTCCGGAACGTCACCTACCCGCACCTAATGGGAAGCAAGTTGTCTTGCTTCGGCCGTGACTCACCTCACGCCCGGGTCAATGTTTAGCACAGTCATTCTCTGTTCATCGGAATGACCAGGTTTGTGGTAACGACTGCAGCCGACGGCAAACTAAGCTGACCGAGATCTTGTGACCAACCAATCGACTGACTAGACTAACTTTCTCTTCCTCCTGCCTTCCAAGTCGGACGATTTGTAAATCCACGTGATCAGTTACTGCAATTGACTTGTTGCAGGTGGACCTGGGTCACTCCATAATATTTCTCCCTTTACCCCCTTCCTCTGATGAGGAGTCCAAAGGAGGGCCTGCTTGGAGTATTTCTTGAAAGATCTGAAGCTGTTTCAAGTTATTCCTAGATTTCAGAAAACATCCAGCTTCAGCTGTCTTCAATCTTCCTCTCACCTCCAAGGTTCACGTTCTTGAGTCCAGTCCCACCGATCAGGAGCTCAGGGCTGCCTCCCTCTTCCCGACCTCGGTGCATCGTTGACTGGCATTATTATTTTCCTTGCAACTCTTTTGACGGAAAACCCAGGGGATCATAGATTCTCATCTGCTGGAGCCCTTGAGCCTCAGAAAATTACCTGCCGATATGCCGGCTACGACGCTGCGCACAGCGCTTGACATCATGTTGGTGCGGGGAGATTACTAAGGATCAGGGACATCATAACAGCATGGACTAAATTGCATTGTTGCACTCCAATGGCGCGGTGATCCTGGTAATGAAGCCGTCACATCCCCGAGTGATGAGCACGTGTGACCTGGTGTCCTCAAATGCAGGTTCTGAAGGGGGGGGGGGACAACGAACGTTGTTCACATTTCTAGAGGGACAAGGTCTTACCAGATATTCATTCGATTTGCTCTTGCACTTTGCGCACACCACTGCGAACAGAGTTGGAGTGAGTACGCAATTATCGACAGAGAAACAGGGTTCCCACAGAAGAATCATCGCTTGGACAAACCACGTCCGGGAATCCGAGCTCTCGATCATTTGGGCCATAGTGGGATTCAAGTGGTGTGTGCAGTTCAGCACATCCATCTAGCCAATATGCCTTCATCAAACTTACTCCTACTCGGTGTTTTTGCTCTCACTGATCTTGTCATCGCGACGTTCCCCACCGAGTGTCCCGACCCAGCCCTGTCGAGCTCCAACACCACCAATGGCGTCTGCGTACAAGACTTCAAGCTCATCGGCGGTGCTCTAGAGGCAGTACACGAGAGCACAAAGGCACCAACAGGCCTGGCAGTAGATCTCGCCGAGAACATCTACCTGACCTATCCACGCAACTTTGAAAATTCAACCAACGCGGTGACCGTGGCCACCAGTTTCACAGACGAGGAGCCCTGGCCGTCAGCCGAGATGCAGAACTGCCAGCCTGGCCAAAATGCATCGGAATGCTTCATCAACGTGCAGAACCTAGTGCTGGATGCCCATGGGCAGCTCTGGGTCTTGGACAACGGCATCCCGTACAAGAAGACCGCGCCTGCCGTGACAGGAGGTGCGAAGATCGTGCAGTTTGACTCCGCCACGAAGGAGCTGGTCAAGACGTATCTGTTCCCGGATGATGTTCTCTCGAGCGGGACAAACCTCAACGACCTGCGAATCAACAATACCGCCGGGACTGGTGGGTTTGCTTTCCTCACGGACGCGTCAGTGAAAGGTGGACTCCTGGCGGTTGACCTTGCCACAGGCGGCGTTGTGAAGAGATTGGCTGGGCAGCCAAGTGTCATGGCAGACCCAGGATATGTGGGTTCGTACAATGGGGAGCCGATCTACTGCTGGAACGGGACGACAAAGTCATTCTGCACCACCTCATCAGACGGGATAGCTCTCCAGGGCGGACAAGTCTATTGGGGCGTTCTATCTTCCCGGCGCTTCTACTATGTACCGCAGGAGATTTTACAGAACTTCGAAGCCACAGACGAAGAGGTGCTGGCCGCGGTCCAGGACCCTGGACAGCTCGGGTCCGAGCAAGCCGGGTTCACGGCGGACGACCAGGGGCGGATGTTCATGCTGGCCAGCGAGCAAAACGCAATCTACTACGTGCAGACGGATCAGTCGAGGATCACTGAGGAGGTCAACGGCGTTCCTGCCGGCGGGTCGGGCCCCGTCGCCGCGGAGAATTACTACGTCAAGACGCTGGTGAGAAACGGGCTGATCCAGCACGCAGACAGCGCTGCGATTCTGAATGGGTATCTTTATTTCTGTACAAACCAATTGGAACTGGGTCCGTCGAGGCAGTACAATAATACAGACAACAGGAAGGGTCCATTCAGGTCGTACAGGTTATTTATCGATGCTGGGCCGGCTGTTTAGGTGTCCATCCTGGAGGCAGTAATTAGCTATGGCAGCAGTCGGACTTGCTGAGTCTGGCTTACTCAAAATCATTCTGCAAGGAAAACCAGATGAAGCATGAACCTGAAATGCGTGACTCGATAATCCAACAGCCAGTCACGGCGCCATTTTTGTGATATTGACGTCGTGAGACAAGCCAAGAGCCAAAAAGGAGTCTCCGGGCCCCGGCCCATACAGCAAAAGATATCGTCTCGAGGAGAGGTCCTATCTGGATTCGAACCAGAGTTCCCGGAAGGATACTGACGAGAGAATCAGAATCCGATGTGATGACCAGCTACACTATAGAACCCACTGGCTTGCGTTGGGACGCTGTGCGATGGGCCCCGGGAAGAAAAGTATTTATATAGCAAGTGGGCATTCAAGGTTCCACCTACGAGAAAACCGGATGGGTGCCAACAGTGCAAAGTCAAAGTGCATGCTGGAGAGGTTAAAAGGCTTGCACCTGAACTCCACTTGCCTTCTTTAGCGTGAGGACTGATTGAGACTCACTTGACTCATGTAATCAGAAGATATTAAATCCGTTCCCTCGAAAGAGTGATTCAGATGGGTGTCGATCAACACAAGCAGTCCTGGCTGTCTAAAGCTGTCAGTGTCAGGCGAGCCTATCATCTCGAGATGGGAGATTATGTCTCGAACGCACGGCAGGAACCCCGGACAGTCCGAGACCCAGATCCGTTGACTTTGTGTGACCTTACGACGAGGATGCTCATGGCGAGACGCTTGCGAGTCGAGACCACGAAAACGAGGTGATTCACAATTCGCTGATGGTGCTCAGGCTCCACGCGGTCGCAGTGTGGAGACAGTCTCGCGTACCTTGCATTCGATCCCGATCCCAGGGGACCCCAACACCCGCAAGCTGCAGCACTCGGGATCTCTCTGCAGGTCGGAAGTAACAACCTGAAGCATACAGATAGGAGATCCGTTTCTTTGACCAGAGGTTGAGCCTGAAGCATACCACAGCAGTGGCGAACGTTGTGCAGCGCCATTGATGGTGCCGGCAAAGTGTTATCGCGTAGCATATTCATCACGAGCCGCCCAAGAAAACAGCTTCGACTGCTCCCAGGAGGGCCCCAGAAGGGATCCAGGAGGCTCCACAAAGCTTGATCTCGGCCCGAAGCATTCTGGAGTTCAAGAGAAAAAGTTTGCCGGCATCGTCCGTTATCTACTCCTCCAGTCTTGTGAGTTGCTCACACCGCCCTCGCAGTGAAGCTGGACGACAAGCAGCAGAGCGAGCTTGGGTTATCGCATTTGCCGGAAGTCGTCATCGTCAGCTGCCCAGCGCCTCACATGCAGACATGACACCTGCCTTGGGCTGGAACAGCATCTCAACCACGACGCCGTGTCACCTCAACCGGCACCCATATTCGACTATGTGACGCCACAGAGGTCGGCAAAGAGATCTGCAGGCCATGAGGCCCATTTTAGCGATTTGATGACATGACTCACGATAGTAATTCCCGTTCCTCAGCAGTCACAGGACAGACCATGCTTCTCTTATCTTCCCTAGACGGGTTCCATCCGACATCTTTGGGTCCGACGTCACCGGTCCGACTGGCGATGCCACCTTCTCGTCTTCCCTCTGCCCCCATTGCGATGCCCCCGCTGGAGGACAAGTGCCGAGAGAGATGGTGAAGTGCCATCGGGTCGTCATGTCCAACATCACTCAGCTGGGCACAGACTTCACTTGCGGTTGACCGGGACGATCTGTGGCTTGAGGTCAGCCCTCAGGATCTTCAATGTGTCTCCTTACTAGAGCGGGGCGGCCCCAATCGTGCATTCCAAGTGGATGTCAACAAGAATTTCACCGATGCGAGCCTTTTCACTCTATCACGGTCAATCCCTCTTCTTTTTCCCTGACATAATCCGGTGGAGTCTGGTCCTGCTGATAGGAAAGTTACTCGGTCATTGGCCACGCGAAGTGGTTTGTTTGTTTCCTGCGCAGGTGTGGAATTATAAGATGGTTTCCACCCCACTACCTTGGTACATACCCTTTTCTTCGACACTGCTTTCCGTCAATCCTTGGTAGTCGTCAAGTCCATCGCCTCGGCCCCGTATTGAGCATCTTTCACCTCACCCAAGAAGCAGCTCAACGGCCCTCAAGATGCGCTTCCTCCAAACGGCAGCCTCGGCGCTGCTCGCCGTCAGCCAAGTGGCCGCCGCAGCTACGATCAAGGGCCCAAAGGCGAACCTCGCAACCCGCGAGGCCCCCATCGCGCCCAAATTCTTCATCATCAGCATGGTACGTTGACTCACGAGTCTTATTCATTCAACCTTTTCGATCTGGTTCTAACTGAAATGTGCAGTTCACTCCTGAGGCGAACATCTGGTATGAGAAGCTCCCCAGCAGCGGCCTTGGCGACCTGCTGGCAGTCAACATCAGCACCCCAGGCCTCTCCATGCTCTTCCCTCACGTCCACTGCACCGAGGACCTTCAGATATGTCAAGTCACCACTGGCGAGTCTGAGATCAACGCGGCCGCAACTATGACCGCCGTCGTGCTGTCCGACAAGTTCGACCTCACCTCGACCTACTTCATGATCGGTGGCATCGCAGGCGTCAGCCCTGAGTGGTCCACGCTCGGAGGCGTCGCCTTGTCTCGCTATGCAGTCCAGGTCGCCCTGCAGTACGAATTCGACGCCCGCGAGATGCCCGAGAACTTCACGACCGGCTACGTGGGCTACGGCACCCTGCAGCCCAACATCCTCCCCGAGACCTGGTACGGCACGGAGGTGTTCGAGGTCAACGAGAACCTCCGGCAGATCGCGTACAAGTTCGCCTCCAGGGCGAACCTCAGCGACAACGCCGTCGCGGCCGAGTACCGCAACCGCTACGCCGCCTCGGGGGCCGTCCACCTCGCAGCCACCCGAGGCCCGACCGTCGTCCTCTGCGACAGCGCCACCAGCGACGTGTACTACTCCGGCGCGCTGCTGGCCGAGGCGTTTGATAACACCACGACGCTCTGGACCAACGGCTCTGGGCACTACTGCATGAGCGCGCAGGAGGACAACGCCACGCTCGAGGTCCTGCTGCGCATGGCCATCGAGGGTCTGGTCGACTTTGGCCGCATCATCGTCATGAGGACGGGATCTGACTTTGACCGCCCCCCGCCAGGCGTCACCGCCTACGAGCACCTCCTGATCAACGACCAGAACGGCTTCGAGATCGCCGTCGATAACATTTACTACGCCGGCGTCGAGATCGTCAAGGGTATCCTGAGCGAGTGGGACTGCACCTTTGAGTTCGGGTTCAAGCCGTCTAACTACATCGGTGACGTCTTTGGCTCGCTCGGTGGTGAGCCTGACTTTGGACCGGGGAGCATCACGCAGGGCATGCCTGTGCTGCCTGATGGGAAGACGGGAGACCTGCAGACGAGAGCCGTCGAGGCGGTCGGCGGTGCCGTGGGCAGGAGAGCTGCGCCGGTCAGGAGGAGCAAGGATGTGCGACGGCACAAGGGCTTGCCTTTGACGAGGATGTAGGATCCCAAAGTCTGAGGTGTGTTGTATTTCGAGTTCAGATAGTGATCTACCGAAGCTGTAGAGGCAATGAATGAACACACAATTTCGACACAACCCTGCTTTTCCTGGTTGATTCTCAGTCATCTGAATTTCAAAGGGAAAGACACCAGCTGTCTGATGTCCATATGGCCCACGCATGCCTCAACGGTTATCAATGGCCCAAGTGTTGAAGCTTCCAGATCCAAGCTACGGGCCATGCGATGCTAAAAGATACAGACTGAAAATCACGCACAAGCCCGATATGCAACCCAGAAGCAGATACTCATTGCGCAAATCCCAGGAGAGTATCCTTTCGAATGGATCGAGCTCGGGGCGGGTGACGGTCTTTTGCAGGCTCGTTTTGGGCACGCTCGTCCAGGGCAGACTCGTCCTGGGCAGCAGACTTGCTGTGCATCTGTGAATTGTTTCGTCAGGAAACGTTGGGCTTGAAATAATGGTGCAGTTCTTGTACAGAAAAAGTGGTACTCTCACCTACACTTCCTCAAACATCCATAGAGCACCGCCTCCCGCAACCCGCTCGAGGTTCTTCCCATCTGAGGCGCAGGCTATCTGATCCATCCCGCCTCCCTCTTTGCTGTTTACAAGCAGCAGATATCCGCCTCGCGGATGATGTCGGACGCAGAAGGACTCGGTCAATGTCTGTTGACGTGCATAAGCGTGAACACCCGGAAATAAGGTGCAACCGAGATAGGTTCCGGTCACATGGTTCCGAAAGCCGAGCCAGTTGCCCTTCTCCCCGCAAACCCAGTGCCAGCCTCCTCCGAGCTTGGCTTGGTCCATTGACTGGACCACGACCCTGCCCTCGGTAACCATGATAACTTTTTCTGTATCCCGGAGATGGATTTTGTAAATTTTCCCGGGACAAGGGACTGAGGGAATATATGCGGTATCGAGGTACCTTTCGAAGCAGCTTGAAGTTGGGGTCATCATGCCGTCGTCCGAGAACGACGTTGCGGTGTTGACTGAGCGAAGGTCGCTGTTGTCTTGCTTGCGATCACACATTGTCGTGTTTGATGTTAGATGAGATGAAGGGTACAAGACTCTCAGCGAGGCGTGATTAGATTAGAGGCAGGATGTTGGGATGATGCCCTCTGGAGCAGTTTAAAGAAGGCGCAACGCGGGTGTTTAAACAAGAAAGGTTTGTGGACAGAAGGTTTTCGGTTTTGTTTCGGTTGTTGTCCACCAGAAAAGGTAATGGGCCGGCCTCCCGCATGACTTCGTTCTGATTGCCGCATCGTATTAGGTGGTAGTTAGTTTATGAGCGGTCTATTTACCAAGTGAATACGAGCGTGTGGTCTCTGAGACGGAGACTTAGCCTGGGCGTCGTGATTTCTTAGCGCTTCGCTAAGAAACTACGACAGGCATATGAGGACGGCTGGTTTCCAGCCCTTCGAATGGGTTGAATAGCTAATATAAACCCAGGCACTGGGCCTATTCTCAAATTCATGTTGGGCCTACTTTATCAACAGTGCTTCAAGAAGCAGCGCTGTTGCATCATGTCCGGTGAGTATAGCATGAAACCCAGTAGCGTCTGATACTCCTGTGAATTTCTTCTATTGGCAATGAATATTTTCATGCAAAACGCGAGGCACTCGTTTTGATATTCTCACTATCCCTTCTTCAACGGAAGACATAGTCGTATGAAACTGCAAATGAACTGGCTCCATGTCGGTGAAATAGTAGCTACAGTACCACGTAGGTAACGAGATCTTCCTCCCTCCAGCCTTCCTCTGTTCGCGTGAAACAATCTACTTCTGCGACTGAAACTAATCTG